TGCTGATGGCAGTGCATCATATGAATCTCCTCACTAAAATGGTACAATATTCTCCAATCTATTACATCTGTGTTGCTAGTGGAATTATGATATCATGGTGCAATGTTACTAACTTATACTAAACCAAGAAACAGTCAATTTGCATTCCTTGTTTAAGCCTTTTGTATCGATTGCAACTAACAGTTAGTGTAGTCACATCGCACTCATGCATACTGACAAAAACTTGTCAAATAAAATATCTCCTGATCACCACAAGGTAACATCAGAACAAATGCAGGTCTACCGATTACACTGAGATTACACTGCAGCCACACCAAAAGTGTTGGTTTTCCACTCAAATCAACACCATCTAGTGGAATTAAAACTATTTTCATAGCACATGCACACTCACTATAAACTTTACCCAACAGATTTAAACATTCTTCCAGCTCTCAGACTGTGAGCCTAACCGCAAGGCTACATGAAACCAGATGAGAAACATTAAAGTGAGAGTGCAGCCAAAAATCAAACATGCACACTTTTCTCTTCACCCCAAATACAGCTGATCAGCCAAGACTTGTTTGGTGTCCGAAGTCTGGTTATTTAGTTTTCAGCTAAGTAATGGAAGCTTACAGTCACCAGTTGTCATTATGTAGACTGCTGTCTAAGTCATTACACACTTGCCTCAAACTGCATTAAAGTGTTAAGTAATCATCACATAAAAAAAACAGCAATAGCCAGTAGGGAATCACTGGGGCCTTCTAAGGCCTAATTACTTCTGTGGGAAAAACAAAAAAAGTTTCTCTAATTTTTGGTTCATTATTATTTCATTGAATCATCATACTTGTATTTAAACTCTGCAAGTATTGTAGTACTACTCTTACTTTTTAGTTGGAAAAGTTTAAGTTGATGATCAAATCAATGTAACTTTTCACTATTTTCTCTCTTGTAAGCAGCCTCACCCATCAGTTAGGACTATAGGAGCGGAACTGAGGGCCTAACCAATCATGTATTTGCTTTCCAGTGGGCGGGGCCAATTTTGTCAGATGTCACTCTAGTATTTCTGGATGTCCTACATATGTCACCGACTGCGAGTACAAGTGGTAGCCTGACCAACCCTTTTTAGTCATATGTCAGGTCCAGGACACACCAAGCCAACCATTGGCCATTGATGAGCATCAGTAGCCAATCATTGGCTGGTATCAGTGCAGTGTGTACAGCACCTCTGGTTCTAGCTGGTCCTTATTGACTTTTTGGGCAGTTGAGTATGTTGAAGCGGTCTCAGCAGTCAGCCGTGAGTGAGGGCAAACGAGAAGAGAAACCAAAGGTGAGAAAGAAACAACGCAAGAAAACGACACTCTTAAGAGGGAACACAAACTATCCTTATTTTCAACAACAGCTGAAAAAAGTTTTAGCACTACTAACGAGAATTTTAACTCATTTTGCTTTTCAAATGTCCAAATATTTAAACGTATTTGTGATTGTCGTATTTTCAGTGAGAAAAAAAAAAATTATATCGTTACGAATAAACACAGATGCACAAGAGCTCAGCAGATGCACTGATAACTAACATAAAATAAAGCAGGATTCTGTTACTCAATGACAGATTTTTATTTTTTGTCATATAATTTTGAACATGTGACTGTGCTGCACATTTTAATTCACTGTTTAATGTACAAACGTTCACTTTTAAGTAGCCTTTTAGCATTTTAAGTAGCCAGAGCACTTTACTCAGTCATTTTAAAATTGCTACATATAAGGTAAAATATCGCTGCTGTCAGAAGAAAACCTTGTATCTCCATTTTTGTTGTTTTTCAGTTTTTGACATGGTCTGAAAGTGTTGCCCTTTACAGTGTGTGTAAATTTCATGATGAATGGACCAAAAGAAACGGCCCAAAATGATGTGGAAAAATGTCTGGTTCCATTGACTTGCATTAAAAGTAAAGTATGTTTTTTCCTTCTCCTGTAAAGTCACCATTTTGGAGATACGAGGTTTTCTTCCAACAATAGCGATATGTTAGTATGTCTGTTACAAGCTTCAAATACAACATGGTATGTATTTTATAAGCTTCAAATGTCTGTGTTACATCTAGCATGAGACAAAAATGTTTAGAATCACTGTTAGGGTAGTGATAACATAGTATTAGAATCCCATAATGGTGCTAGCAAAAATGAGCATAGCTGTAGAGGTGTTTTAACATTTATGGCTCAAACTGAAGGCCTAACTCTAACAGTCACTTCCGGCACTAGTAGCTTTCTTGAAACCTGAATTTTGTCTGTGATTTTATTTTGTGTTGGACAACAACGTCTTGGCTGGTCGACTGTGTTTGGGCTGAGGGGAAAGTTGTGTAAATTTATGGCCAAACAATCACTTCAGCTGTTTGAGAATTAAGCAGGAGAGGCGTATGGGTGCTGCTTTGTGGAGCAGTGCTGTTTGTTAGGATGCTTAGTGGTGCTTGGCCCCCTTCATCATCCTCACTCATTGGTGCTAATAGGGCTGAATGAGGAGACGGTCAAATTCCTCTGAGCACAAAGTCTCATTTCTAAGCTCTAACTAAGCTGTGTGTGTGTGTGTGTGTGTGCGCGTGTGCGCGTGTGCGTGTGTGTGTGTTCATTCTGTTAGCTCGCGTAATGTCATGGGCTGATAACTGTCTCTCTTTGGGAAGCATCCAAATCTCCTCATTAAGGTGTTGACTGCGTTCCAGGTCAGCTTTTAGAGACAGAGTAACAGGTGCGGAGGTGTGACAGAGAAAATGGCAAGCTTATCAAGGTTACATATCAGCACTGGGAGACATCAGTGCTGGAAGATTATTGGGGGAAAAAGTGCTCCAAGGAAACATATCGACAAAGAGCTGAGCACTGTTCCGTATCTCTACTGTAGGTATGGCTCTATACAGTGTGTACATTATGAAATATAATGAATATGCATATGTGTTTATCGTTATGAAATGTAACATACATTTTAAACCTAAAGTTCTCAGAACATAGCATTCAGCAAACAATAGTCTTGGCCTTACTTTTAATATCCTTTGCCATAAGCTTTGACATTCACAGCCACACACAAATCAAAGTCATGTTTTAAAACCTGAGAAAGAACACTGGTAAAAACACCTCAACAGAGCGTCAACCACCAAGGGAAAAACAACAAAAACGGAGATGTGCACTCTGAAGAGGGTGAAAACAAAGTCTTGCACTGAAGAGCACTGTGCGAAAGTCAGAGATCACTTGTTTAATGTCCAGTCAAAACGGCCACAAGTTATTAATTTTTCAGCATCAGGAAAAAAAACAGGTACATTTATTTAACAGACAATTACATAGAAGCCTCAACAACTAAATATCATTTTTTTCCCCCGTATTTCTTTTGTCCTTCATTTGCCTTTATTACAGCTTCCATTCTTGTATTTTAAAGAAATCTACAGGGAACTTTTTCCACACCTCTAAGTTCAGTCTTGCATTATTATTACATTATAATTAATGTATTTTCTCATGCATATAAATGCGGTTTTGGAAAGGCTTGGTGGGTGGATCTCATACCCAGTTCTAGAGCTAATGTTCTTCTTTTTTTGTCTTTTCCCTGTCCTGAGTAACAGCTTCTTTACAGCTACACATCCTTTCAGACCCATAGCGCTGAGTCGTCTTCTCACAACAAAAGGATGGACAGAGACACCTGTGGATGTTTTCAGATCTGAAGCAGCTTGATTTTCTCCTCTCTCTCTAGGATTTTGGTGGTCTTCCATGTCTTGCACGGTAGTTAGGAGTCCCTTTTTTATATCCTTAAATCATCTTTTAAACACTTCTGGAAAATCTTGTTTTTTTTTTCACTTATTTTTCTTTGCTCTTCCTTATGGAGGTGGATTGTCTTCTATCTAATCTCCTCATTAATCTCCTCTTTGGCCATTTTAGATGAATGAGAAAGAGAAATGTGTGAGGCTGTTTTTGTGTGACTGTTCGTATCTGTTTGAAGAGGAGCTTAATGTCCTTTGAGAACAGCTTCTGCTGGGAGGACACAGCCGCAGCTGGCTGGTTTTAAGACTGGAAGGATGGAAGAGCTCGACTGCACAAAGGTAAAGAGTAGATAAATACTGATTTGATTTTGTACTTAGCCTTGAAGGCTTTTGTGTAATTTTCTGTTAAATATGTTTCCTGCTTCCTGCTGCTGAAAAATGAATAACTTAATTAAATATAGAAAGGGTGGTCTCTGACTTTTCGCACAGTACTGTGTATGTCAGATAGCTTGATTAAATTAGTTTGCAATAGGCAGTCCAATTACGCTTCGGCATTTAGTGCCAGCTTCCAGCTAAAGCATGCAGAGATAACACTTCACACCGTCAGTGCTACTCCGAACGTGCACACACATGTTGCATCACATTTTGCAGATCCATCATGTTGTCTACTTTCTAAACGTACAAGTGTGTCTATATTTACTGCAAAGAAAGTCTAAAGTAAATCTCTAAAAGACCAGATAAGGTGACTAATCTACATCGCCTGTGTGTTGAGATTCTTTAGGAATCTGAGTGACATTAATGGCAACAACAGTACTGGATGAGGGATGGACACTATAGTACGCACCAGACCGTTTTCAGGAAGTGAGCTATATTACGCATAGGTTGACCTTACTCATATTTGAATGAACTGTAAGTATTCCACTGTATACATCTGTACAAGTACAGTAAATCATATATCACATGATATAATTTTTTTGCACTTTTGTTGATTATTTAAAAAAAAAGAAAGTCATTTCATGTTATTTTACAAGGAACTCTGACATGACACGGAAATTCTCAATTCACACACTTCAATACTGAGCCAGTTTTTTTTTTTTCGTCTTTTTTTTACGATCACGTGACTTTTTGCTTTTCTTTTACATACAAAAGGTTGGAGAGACACACACTGTGGTTCTACAATGACCTCTAACCATTTAACCAAAGAACCGTATGCAGTCTCATATTCTCTTAGGACAGACTCATAGCCCACATTTAAACCCCGTTTTCTAACCCCCAAAATAACCGTAAGGCAAAGAAAAAATTACAAAGAATAATATTATTAATAATAATAACAATAATAATAGTGACTGAAAGAATCTGCTTCTATTCATGGGCCTTCGAGTCTGTCTGCGTGTAATGCCGAGTAAAGCTGATGCAGGGGATGATCTCTAGCATCAAAACTTGCTCAGGTAAAAGAGAGCGAGAGTGAGCAGCAGGCTGACGGAGACGGATGGAGAGAGTGCAGCGCTGTTCACATCATGCAGTGCTCCCGGGCCTACAGAGAGAGAGAGAGAGAGAGAGAGCGAGAGAGAGATATATAGAGAGAACTTAGCACTCACACTGACCCTACATGATTCAAACCGTGTGTGTTTTCTTAAAGGGCCCAAATCATGAAAAACGTTTGTAGACATTGTTAGTTTCAAAATGTGCCATTGACTTCCAAGTTCATTCAGTCCATATATGGAAACTAAGCTGGAAAAAACAGCCTGTTTTTGAATTCACTGTTTTTGTTACATCACAAGAACCAGCACATTTACATATACCCACCTATTCAGCCTACAGCAGTTTAGCTCCGCCCATTTATGCTGAAATTCTAGACAGAGCGCTTTTTTGAATGAGGTACAACACAGGTCAGCCAATAAAAACAGAGCTCATTTACACACATCAGTCTTATAGGCAGAGTAACTAAACCAGCCTGAGCGGTAAAGCAGAGGTTGGAAAATGGTGATGAAAACATAAATTATGTTTTTGGTACATAAAAAATGCAGAGTGAGGAATAAAACTGAAGAGAAATGTAGGCTATAAGTATATTACCAACAAATACACTACATCTTTATTTATATTTATATTAGCTTCATTTATTTATCGTTACTTTAAAATGTTCTTCATACTCTTTTTCTATGGCATCATGTATAGAATCCTTTTATCACCTATTTCAGATATTGCATTATTCTTTACATCATTAATACATTAATTCATCCATTCATTTGCTTCCTACTCAATATTTGTAGTTATTTAAAAAGAATAGTATGCAAGTTCAAACACTACTGATTAAATTGTTTGTAAATAAGTCAATACATCCTCTACAGGGAACAAACTTAACATGCACTAATTTTAGAGCATAATTTCTACTTATTTGCTGAGTTTAACTTTTTGGGAAAAAATAAAACATAAAATATAAAATGTTCCATAACTTTTGCACAGGCCTTTTTTCAATATGTTAAATTCAGCAAATAAACAGTGATTGTGCATGAAAATGTCCAGAAGTATGTTCTCTGTACAGGATATTTTAACTTATTTTCACTGAGAAAATCAACAAAACATGATTTGACCAGGCATGGCCGAACCTTTGTATGCACAATCATTTGTAATGTTACAATCATGTTATACATCTATCTGCCACCATACATCATTTATTACTACTGTCAACACTGATTCCAAACTTTTGAGTGTCAGAGTATAATAATTGCTAAAAAGGGGTCAATCTAATGATTATTATTTGTTATTAGTAACTGATATTGAAATTACAGCTGGTTATTTAGCATCCGGTTTTTAGCACCGGTAGTCTCTAGCGCAGAGCTCACTGAACTGTATAGCATAGTGGACAACACCACTACGCCACACACAAAAAGACCAGGCTTCCATTTTCATCCAGGCAGAAATGCTACGGCTATACTAATAAGTGTGCCATAATAAGAGTCCTTGGGAAAAACTCTTAATTTCACTCTGACCATTGTAAGTCTGTTAAATAATGTAGCTTAAATATAAAACATGTTACAGTAATACATATCACCTGATTTAGCTATGCCATAGTTATGTACAATTAGTCAACAATTTATTCTTTTCTTATGAGTACTGCACTTCATATATCAGTTATCATCGGTATTAGCCGCAACAAAAATATCTAATTATCAATCAAGAAATTCCATACAGATGCATCTATGAACACAGCCAAATTTTTCGGAGCAATACGTAGTTCACAAATCATGAATGGAAACAGAAGCACCACAGCCACCACACATAACAGCTGTAGATTTATTTATGTAAATTAAACAATGCTAATACCACACCCCTAAGAAGTGTTACAGAGGCAGATGCAAACAGCTGGATGACGTGAATGACTGCAAATTCCACAGGAATTCACACTACCCAAAAGTAACAAGCAGTAAAATGTGACGGCATGCTTAGCAGTCAGCTTTTAAACAGACTTGCATTCATGAACTCGTCATCGCTTGTTATGATTCCTATGAATTCTTCATGAGAGTGGTTCCAGACAGTCACTTGATATGCACATTAATAAGATCAGCCGCAGCAGAACCAAACAACTATCACACTTCAAATGATGCATGGATTTAACTGGCTTTTTATTATTAAATAGGTGTTCTTACCATAGAGGATTATGCTGGCGTTTGAAATCCCCAGCATGTTCATGGCCACGCAGGTATAGTTCCCATAGTCCTCTTCAGACACATTGAAAAATATGAGCATGGACTGTTTACCTTTGTTTTCTATTTTCACTCCATTGAGTCCATTGAAGAGGCTGCAAACAACAAGGTCAGGTTAGCATTAGCATTGTAAATGCGAAGGTCAAGTTAACTGTGCATTGAACTGAAAGAGTATTTCAATTCCGTGTCTTGTCTGGGTTTAAAAAGCATGTGGTACAATTAACCTCAGCAGAGAGTACAGTACTGTAACACTGATAAGTGTTTACATGGAATTCTGTTTACATGGAATTGTGTTTACTGTAGAATTCTTCCTTCGCATGACTGTTTTACGTGTGTAACACTTCATTAACCACCAACGAATTATATCAATGTTGTTATTACATGAGTTTTGGAATGCAGACATATTGCAAATTACTATTTTCTGCCTGTGTTTTTTTCTTTGCTAATTTATACAGCATGTCTATACAAGTCAAAAATTGGGACTAAATACAATAGGTACACTCTATCAGCTGTACGAATGGCTTTTTCCTTGATTAAACAAGGCATATATATATATATATATATATATATATATATATATATATATATATATACAATAAAATAGTAAACATACCGACGATCTTCTTTATACCACTGAAAGTCAGCCAGAGGAACTGCCAATGCCTCACACTGCAGTACCCCTCTCTGACCAACAGGGGTTCCTGAGCTGCGGGCCCTCGAAATGACCGGAGGATCTGTGGAGTGAATGTACTAGACTAATGATGATCATAAATGATGGTGTCAGTATTATTAAACCCATAGGCATTTGTTTCATATCAGCGAAAGTAATGTTCAGCTTACAATTTACTGTGACTTGTACCGTCCTCACGTCCGGGGGAGAGATGTCGTTAGAGGAGATGCACTCGTACGATCCCGACTGTTCTCTGGTAATTGCAGTCATTTCAACATACTCCCCCTCACTGACGAACCTGCGACCTGAAACAAATCAATACACACATGTTCAAGTTCATATGAAAGGATTAAAAAAAGAGTACAGAGATTCAAAGTTGATTTAAAACATTTTACTTCATTATACATGTTCGCAAAGCTGCATATTATGCTGATCTCCTTAAGAAGCAACACATTTACACAACAAAACTAATCAAAAGAAAGAGGAGGTGGGAGAGCAAGTGTTTCATGTTTCTCATGCCATGTCATTAGAGGTGTCCCACAGGGGTTAATTATGGGACCGTCTTCATTCGCACTTTTTAAATACATTATTTCTCTCCATCCTGTTAAAAATGGCATGAAGTTTGTTCAGTTGCATTGTGCCAGTGCTGTGGCATAATGTCTTATCCACTGGCTGCGAACATCTGCTGTGCATTTTCACCCAGTCACACCACGCGTAGACTCATTTAAATGTGAGTACTGCAATTTGCAGCCTGTCATAACTAATTGACCAACAGTCACTTTTTTGGACAAACACACAAACCTATCATTGAACTAAATCACTCTGGAATAGTGTTACTGAGCAACAGCAGATCCCTAAAATGGTGTACTCATGTCTGAATAATAATCACCAGGCACATTTAGGGCTTACTTTCGTTTCCAATTCATTGTGTCCGACTTGTCCAGAAGAAATCAAGTTCAGACATTTGCAGTGTAGTTATTTTGTGAAATATATGATTATATTTTTTTCTCAGACAGAGACAATTTTCATCTTTTAAAGATGTTTAAACTGTGCTAGCTTGGCTGGAGCATCTGCTGCTGGAATAAACAAACTGCAGGAATTCTGCTATATCTAACATGAATGGTGTATTTTCAACATTTGCAACATTTCTCACAATAATACACAATCAGAATCATATTAATATTAATTCTATATAGTATTAAAATGCATTGTGGAAGATTCAGATATTCCTCTGAGGAGCAAAGACACAGTTTAACCTTCAGTAACGGATAACCTATTCCCTGGAAGACCAAATGTCACAACACACAGCAACAGTTCTACATTAAAACTCTCTCATTAACGCACTATTCCTCTCTCTCTGTCTCTCTCTCTCTCTCTCTCTCTCTCTCTCTAAAGGTTGAGCAGAGGATATAGGTTGTTATTTCTACTCTCTTAATACCACGGCCCTGGGGATGGGGGTGATATAGCAGGGTAATTATGCTTATCTAACCAAATTACTCATTTCTGTAATTTTAGGCCAGTCTAAAATAGAGGAAAGAGAGAAATATGATTGCATGATTAGCCAAAGATTTAATGAGCCCCAAATTTTATTACTATCATTCAGCATATGTGTAGAAGTTACACTGATTTTCCTCAAACATTTACCTTCAGGGTCAGGTGAATGGACTGGACTAATGTAATTCAGCAAATATAATCACATTATATTAATTACCACACTCACAGCCCTTAACCATTTTACTAAATAAACTGAGTGGCCTCTAAAACCCAAGCTTTCCATTTTGAGCAGAACTCACTTTGTGCATTTCCTTGTTATAGATGTGCCGAATCAAAATACCTTCAGCTTGGCCTCAGTTTCTGGCAGCACCTCTAGGCACTGAACACTTCTTACGCACATTTTGGGACGGACAGAAAGACCATCTTCCTTTGATTGCAGCTTTCATTCACTGCCAGTTTTAACAAATATCCGTATTTTATCATCATCTTTTCTGTGTGACCTTCCTGTGTACACAGTTACGAGCAGAATGAGATGGACTCTTCACAGGTGTAGTGTCAAAAAAGCCCCCATACTTTCATCGCGGAACTGAGATTTAGGGACCACACAACTTATCTGCAATAGGGGCTGTTTTCTGCCACCGTGTAACTACTACAAACTACACTCTCAGGGCCTGGTGCACAGTTTTGTGACAGTTTTAGATGTACGAAACTGGCACATGAGCATAAATGTGGATTTTATGGGCATATTTATTTGAGGGAGGGACACACAATACGTGGGAGGATCATGCAGAAATCTGGTGGAGGCTGATTACAAATTCCGCTTGATTTACTGAAGTGTGAGCAACTCGAAGTGGCCAATTTTGTAGGATTTTTTTTTCTCTGCCTTTTAAAATCAGGCAAAGAAATACCATGTTATTCTGGTGTAGACATGCACAGTGATATCAGAATCATAATGACATCAGCAGATATTTGCTTAAAAAATATTGGCATCAGACAGATGTTTAGATTTGACAGATGTTTTAAACTGATATTTACTGATGTATTCACTCCAGAGAAGCAGAACATTTAGATTCTCAAACTGGGGGCTGGGTGGGGGGATGCTAAGGGGGCTGCAAAACAATTTCAGAAGTTTTACTCTACTTAAGTTTTTTAATTCATTTTGTCAGTTTATTAAATCGTCTTTATCCATACCTAAAATCATAAGACAACCAATCACAATTCACAGCCATAGCTTAGCCATTTAAATGACTCTGTAACATCACAAAACGGGGCTGACTGCTAGAAAAACAGACACGGTCCTTGGCATTAGGTAAAAGTAATGACTGGGGGTTTGAGGGGGCACTTAGACTAAAAAAAGTTGTCTAAGCTGTGTGACTGCACAGCAAAGTGCTACACTTCTCTGGACTGCTAATGCTAATGTTTATGCACAATGACTGAATGACACTGGTATCAGCATCAGTTGATATGTACATGAAAAATTCAGCATGAGCTCACAATTATCATATCAGTGCATCCCTGTTCTGGAGACTTCCTTTAAAAGTGTCAGAAAACATAGCGTCTAGACGGAGGCATGAACCATAAACACATGCTGAAAGACTCTTTACCAACAAATTACCACTATTTCAGCTCTCAGGATCAGATGTTTGTGAGATGATGAAGCGTAAAATGTGCTGAAATGTGATCAATTCTGTGTTACTGTATCATGAATTCTGTTTTCTTAGGTGGAGTAAAATTATGCCCATGTTGATTTTTTGGCAGACAAGAATTTACTTATTAACACCAATATCCCTTCATCACTGAACTTTCATTTTCTGTTCTGATCCTGAGTTTGTTGACGGCCCCTAGTTCACTGCACCTCACAAGTGAGCTGTTACTGGACGGTTTGTATTATTTGTTTCAGTCTTAGTAAATCGAACATTAATTTCAGACACATTGCGAGCTGAAAGGCTGCATGTCTGCGATTGAATGTACATCTGACCTAATCTCGACCTAACTTTCCACATTTGTAGCATAAGGTCTGATACCACAAACAAATACAGTACAAACACAAAAGCCTACACAAACACATAAAGGGGGTCAAAATGACCTGTAGTTTAATCAATGATTCTTCAAACCGAAGGAATCCTGTTTTTATCTCCAGCTTAATGAAATCATTTAAGATTCTGATGATACATAGATTAAATTATTTCAGTAAAAGTTTTACTGTTTAAGTCATGTTTATTTGATCACTTCCCACATATACAGTGAAGACGATGATGAAATTCAATACTACTGAAATGCAGTAGAACTTTTTCTCAGCTGACTGAGGCTTTAAAATCACTGGTTTAGGAATAATCTTTATTTATTTGTTTGTTTGTTTATTTATTTGGTTATTTGTTACTTCATCTCAGTAACATTCCCAATAATTTCTAAATGCAACACTCAACATTTGCTAGCTAGCTAAGTATGAGCTCTAGTAGCATTAGCTCTAGCTAGCTGATTTAGAATATCTGAATATCTATTTGTTTTAAAATCTATGTTTTTAAAAAAGTTAAGAAAAAATACAATATTTGTAAATAAAATCTACTTCACACTATCACATGAACAATTGGTCAGTGGTTGTATAGGCACCAAAGTTGATTTATTGGCTATGACAACTGATGTTAATCAAATTCTTAGCAGTAACTAAAATGGGACAAAATGACATCTATATGGAAGATGCCCCTGAAATAATAAAATGTTCTTAGAAATGAATTTTTTTGATAAAAAATGATGAATGATTTTCACAAAATCCTGTAGTGAATGAACTGATTCTTTCACAAAGACTATCAGTCATAAGAAAACGTCTTTTTGACTAATTCATAGAATGTAAAGGAATAAAATATTATTTTGGAAAAATGCAGCAAAAATTCTGTACTGAATCAAAACTTCCCCAGGAAATGCACAGGGATCATCTTAACCCCCTGCATGAAGGCTTGGGGTAGTGATACAAAAATGACATTTTTAGATCCTATGACTAAGGAATATGGAAGTTATATTCGTGAGGCTCACCAACAAGATTTTTGAGGAATACATGAAATATCAAGAAGTGTTGACATTGACAAAACATTGCAAAAATCACAACCTACTGGGTCAATTTACCACCAGTCAGTTACAGCTGACTTTCTGCACTGTAACCATAACCGCAAGTGCGGTAATACAGACCAAACAACAAAAAACGTGTCACAGTTCAACTACTTACAGACTGCATTGTAGACAACAATCCATGATGTTTTCTCAAAGAAGCATAAAGTATTAAAAAAAGAAAAATCCATTCAAATGTATTTTTTGACACCTCCTTTGTTGAATCTATGTACGTATACATAGCGCTCGCTCTCCTGTTGATCAGCTGCACAAAAGCAGACTTCTCTCAGAGTGCTGTGAAATCATGGCAGTAAACATTTAAGTAAAGATTTTCATTTGATGGGTTGACATTCGCTATTGTGCTTTGTGACCATGGCTAAACGTGAAAGACTCAGTTGCCAGGACAACCTCAGAAGGACTCCAACAACTGCAACGAGTATTGTGTTATAGACGGGCTTTGGCTGTTTATCACTCACTTCAGGAAAAATGAAAGACAAAAGGTAAGACACACAAAACCCGCCAAGGAATGACCTCCATTGTGGCATCAAGCAGAATTGAAAGACCTGTTATGAGAGGACGTCTGGTATATTTCGTACGTTAACTGGCCCATTAAAAAGGAATAATCATTTTGATTCCAATGACAATGGCGATGGTCCTGGTAGCCGGCTTTATCCCACAGCCATGTTTTATAATGTTTATTATGGGGAGA